CCCCGGCGGCCAGAGTGCCGGGGGCAGGGCGGCCGGAGCCCTGGGGGGAGGGCGGCGAGCCCCAGCTGGGGCTCGGCTCTCCCCCCCCGGCGGCCAGAGCGCCGCGCCGCCGCCCCCCTCCAGGTGCCGCCCCAAGCACCAGCTTGGGTGCTTGGTGCCTGGAGCCGGCCCTGGCAGCAAAGGTCTCTTCTGAATACTGTAGCAAGAATCTGCTTTCCTTTCAAATTTACTAATGGCCTGTCAGAGTGGCATTTACTTCTGTGAGTGATTCCTAGTCACATGATTTCATTTTTTAATACCCAAGACAACAAGCAGATCTCACAGAGCAGAAAACTTTATACTACCTCTGTTATTAGACAGACACCTTAATGTAGCAGGAAAGAGAAGTATGCTTTTAAAACAAGGATCTTTAAAAATGTAATCTGCCAATTCCAGACAGAACAGCTATCCAGACTAAACCAATCTCAATATTTCGGTTCAAAGTTCAAATGACACATGACACTAAATTGAAATAACACATGAACCTTACATTTATGATATTCCATTGTGCTGGATCTGAGAAGACTGGTTGATGGTCCACTAGTGAATTGAATTACCCAAACACTGTGTACTGGGCAACGAGCAGATTCATGATGTTACCAATCTTACATTTACATTAAACCTTTCACCCAGAGGGATCCTCAGACACTATTACAAACAGAGGATCACTTTGCCCGCTTCTGAAGGCCAACCCTTTTGGGATGAAATGGGTCATCTGTCCACAGTAGCATTATACTTCAGCTACAAGGAGCAATTTAGGAAGGCATAATTTAATTACTCACCTCGGAATTTGGCCAAGAATACCATATGATGGGTAAGGGGTCAGGACCTGAGTTTTTCCATCTCATGCAATTTCAAGGTACCCTCAGTTGAAAAAATTGTTAGGGGGCCTTGTTTTGCTTCATTGTTTCTCCTCCTCATCTGCTCAGAAAACATATAGGCCCTGATTCACAGTGAGCTGGTTGTGGCTCCTTGATCCTCAGCCACTCAGTGGAATACAGAGCACTAGGGAGCC